AGTTCGTTACTCACAAATCTTATCCTTTTCTATTTGTCTCTAGTTCTCTTTCTTCCTCCCTCTCTCTTTCTCTTTCTCTTTCTCTTTCTCTTTCTCTTTCTCTCTCTCTCTCTCTCTCTCTCTCTCTCTCTCTCTCTCTCTCTCTCTACTCTCTGAGTACTCTCTCCATTTATATTTAATCAAAAATCCGCTTACTACTTTACCCGAGCAAACCAATTTTAAGACGGAAATCTAAAGTTTCCGCGTTTAAAATACATCTAACGACTGAACTTCTCATAACAAGATATGACTACAAACATTCTTTATTAAATAAAAATTATGTTAGTAAGTTAACAAAATTCAATAATAAAAAAGACTAAAAATAGACAGATGAAGATACAAATCGAGTTGACTTAAATATTCGAAATCGTTGATGATAAGAAATTAAATTACGTGATATATCCAATAAAAATAATCATTAAGTGTTACCGCAATTTATCATATATGTTCGAATTTTCTATATGTGATCTTTCATATTGTTTTACAATACGTAATCAGTTAATAATTGTTTTTCCAAATAAAATATGAACGATGATTTCGTAATAATTAGCTATCATAACGACTAATGGTACTGAAGTTATAAAATTTTTTAAGTATTAATAAAACAAATATTAATTAAAAAGATATATATCGTAACCAATTATCCAAATATATGTGTCCCGTAATTTCAATATCAATTCTATAAACCATTAGGACACAACCAGTTTTCAATACCTATTAAGCTTTTCTATCTTATGAAAGGAACATTATTTTAAATTGAATTAATTTAGCTATCGCCAAATCGTATGGAATCATCACAATAGCATACATGAAATTTCTGTTACAATACATACATACATACATACATACATACATACATACATACATACATACATACATACATACATACATACATACATACATACATACATACATACATACATACATACATACATACATACATACATACATACATACATACATACATATATATAGGTATATATATATATATATATATATATATATATACATATATGTATATGTATAATTATGTATTAATGAATATGCTATAACTACTTGATCATCATTCCTCGATATTCCATTATAGTCTTTGGCCTTTTATCATTTATCAAACGAAACTGCTTAATTACCTTCCCTCCTTTTACTCTGTTCTGTTTCCAAGAACTCAGTTTAATTTTGCGTATTCTGTTCCACGGTTCTCCATTATCTTCTCCTCCTCTTCCATTTCACGATTTATTTTAATCCCTTTTTCCGTTCGAAAGCATCCGTTATTATCCGGCTCCAGCAGTAACTTCGAAATTATTGTCCGATTCGCTATTGACCATTACAAATCTGAAAAAATAACGTCATTTATTTTAATTATATCGGCATTCTTTAATTTAAAATATATTTTCAATTAAATTATAGAAAAACTTAATATTAGATATTCATGTATTAAAAATGTAAAAAAAAAAGCAAATGATTAAAATCGTTTTAATGGAATATTCGATCATATAATATAATCTAATTCCAACTCATCGTCTAGATGGATAAATCAGCGAGTATCAGGCATATTTCTCGTTACAAGCTAATAAAATATACATATATATATATATATATATATATATATATATATATATATATGTGACGTCATAACTATTGACCGATTCGTTATTGATCGTTATTAATATCTAAAATCTTTACGTCATTCATTTAAATTACGTAGAAATTTCTTAATTTGAAATATATTTGTATTTATTAAAAATTTTTAATTTATTATAAAAGGTAAGAAGAAATTATTAAAATTATTCCAACGGAATATTTCATGATATAACATAATCTAATACTAACTTACCGTTTAGACAGATAAATCAGTAAGTGTCAGGAATATCTCTTTCTCTCTCTCTCTCTCTCTCTCTCTCTCTCTCTCTCTCTCTCTCTCTCTCTCTCTCTCTCTCTCTCTCTCTCTTTACAAGTTAATAAAATATACATGTACGTAGGCGCCATAACGCGAGAGTATTGATTATTATCGTATTCTGTCTGAAATTATTTACGTAATATATGCTTACTTAGGTTTACGCCCATCCAGGTGGTACTGATGCTTCATCGTGAACCTCAGAATATTTGATTATGCGATACATTAGTAAGTAAACGATCTCTGATCTTACATCACGATCGTATCTCATTTTACTTCATCTATTATGCTAATTTTTATTGATAGCTTCATTAGTATCGATTTTTCATCGAAATATTTTTTTTAAAGACTCAACAAAACGTCGAAAAAGGTTTTACGCTATTCTAATACTGTTTTTGGATATAAAAATGGAGCATGGATTTTTTTATATTATTTTCAAAAAAAAAAAAAAAAAAAAAAAAAAGAGGATTTAGTAACAAAAATATCAATATATCTTATTTATTTTTGTGTGGGAGGAAGTTATATATATATACATATGATGAGTATGTTTACGTTTGTGTGTTTATCAGTGATCAATGTCCATGCTAGTCGGAAACATAGATAAGTGATCAAATCGACGATAAGTCAGACACTTACTTGACGTTGAGTCACCAGTGGAGCTTCTCGTGGTTTTCGTCGAATTGGAAACTAAACTAACTTCCTGTAGTTAGTTTCCTTTTGGAAGATCCACAAGACTTAGAGAGTAACGGCACGTTTGTCACGTAGAAAGGAAACCAGTGAATTAATTGAAAAGATTATACACGTTACCTATTCGTTATGTTTTAACTAGAAAAGCTACCAGAGAAATATCATAATATTCACATATGTACCATTTCAAATGTACTATGGTATAAATGACGTTGTACGTATGCGTATAAATAATGACAGAGATAAACTAATAATTTTACTATGAAATTCTCTTTTGCTTTTCTAATGGCATATATTAAAATAAAAGTGATAAATATAATATCTGAAAAATAAAATTGTATGTTTAACAAATAAAATAAACAACAAAACAAGAAAAAAAAAAAAAAGAAAAAAGAAAAAAGACTACATACATTCGTAATAATCGTTGATCGACTGATGATAAAAACGTAAATTTCTTTGAAACATACTGACGGTAGTTAACGAAGTAAAATTATTTTAAATATCATACGAAATAATTATTATTATTTAATGTATTAACTGACTATAATTATAAATATAAAAAAAAAGAGTAATTAATTATGATTAATTCTCTTTTGTATTGTTCCATGATAATATCAATTGGAAGCTTTACAACGAAAACGGCGAATAATATTGTATCTCTTATAAGGATTTGCAAATCGATATTTGTCATTTCATTCAAAAGCTCCTGATCATAATACCTGACGTCTCAAATTCTACGCAATTCTATGCTCTTCCTTCTCAAATTACTTCTCTCACAATCAGTAATTCACACGTAACATTAAACGATTTGTTAAACGATATTCTAGGCATCACGTCGAAGTTTCACGATATATTTTCGAATAAAAGTAGAAATGATATAAAAATGTATCATGACAATGGAAGACGTTCTATGATTGGCTCTTATTTTCTCGTTCTATTCGATAGATTTCAAATATATCGTAGAAGAAATAGGTTATACATCATTTTTAAAATATATTAACGTTATAACAACAATAATATTCAATTGTAATTGTAATAAAATTAATTATAATTTTTTTTAATAAATTTATTAAATTATAATAAATGTATTAATTAACGAGAAGAAAATTTAATTTAAAATACGTATTAATTATAAAATAATATAAAATCTATATTTCAATGAATTCTTGTTGAATTGTTACTTTTTTTTCTATTGATTTTATATTGCATTATCTATTTATTTTATTTTATTTAGAAAAATCGATTGAAGATAACTATACCACGCCTGCGCAATGTATTATACTCGATCATATGATTGAACCTCATTTGTGTTACGTTCACGAAGTATTTCCATCGACAGCATGGCGTCCGTTATCAAAGGTTCGATCATGTAATAATATTTGAAAATTAAGAAAGAAAAATATTCTAAACTTAATAACATATTATTATATCAAAGATGATTACAATGACATTATTCGAGATCACGTTTTCGTAGACACGGGAGAAATTTGGACTAGACTCTTTGAACATCGACCATTTATCCAAGGAGAAGTAACTTTTTTCTTAAGAGAATTTCAGGTAAATTAACATTCTTCTAATATAACAATTATTAAAAATTATTTCATTATCAAAAAGAAATCAAATAAATTTCTCCCTTGAGTCAAGGTAATTTATTTTTTTTTAACTTTATAATTTTCTATCTACATTGATACATATATAACCTGACATTTGTAAACATAATATATTTAAATAAAACTTGCAAGCATCAAAAGTCTTTCCTCATTGTATATGTATATATATATATATATATATATATATATATAAATCTATATAGATATATATACCTATTCTTTAGTATAATATTGTAATATTAAGAGATGAATAAAATAGTTATGCAATAAGATTTTAAATATAAGAAATTAGTATATTTATTGATTTGTATTTTTTTAGGAAAAGAGAGACGACGGAGAAGTGGAAAGACTTTTCAAAATTCTTGAATATTCAACGGAATTAGACCAAAATCAGTTGCCACGTGCTGAACAACTTGGAGATTGTCATTTACCAAGTTTAAAAGCAAACATTGATGTTGCACTTAGTATGTGCGAACGAGTACTTCAGAGACAAGAAGAATTTGATAGTGTACGTACTTCAAAAATAGGAATAAAAAAATAATTCATTTATATGATAACTATTTTATAACTACTTGTATATAACAGGATTTTGCTTTGCAACATAATAGAGAAATTCGTAAAGCGGAATGGGAAAAGTTTATAAATGATATGAGCGACAAATGTCAAAAAGTGGATAAAGCCTTTCAGGACAAAGAAAACGAAATCAAAGAATATTATATCGATTTAGAAAAAAAGTTACATATTACACCTTGATTTAATTAATATCTTACATTTACAGCTTCCAAATATTCTTAAAATAATTATAGTAGTGCCACGTACACATAAATATTTAATATCATTATAATACTAATATTATTTTTTGAAAAATATCTATACCATTTTTATACGATATAAAAATGCCTGTAGAAACAATCGATGATCCATCCATATGTGTGAAACCAAACACAAAATTAATAGACTTTGTTTGGAAATACATATCCGATGTAAATGATGCCCCACCTGGTATTGCTACTTTAAAAAAGAGTAATAGGAAGAAGTGCAATGACGTTTTATTGAAATTAAGTGATATAAATTGGTTAAATAATTATTTACAAGAATATAGAAAAACTGCAGCTAAAAAAGTATATTTACATGAAATATTAGAGGATGTTGATGTAATATTACCAACACCAAAAATTACACCCAGAAATCCTGAATTGGAAGCAAGGATACAAAAACTGACAGCGCAACAAAATGCAAGAGAATATAAAGCTATGACTAAAAGTATTGATTCCACACGAAAAGATTTACCAGAAGATACATTGGCATATCAAAGTAAGAAATAATATTTTGATTGGTACTTTATTATTTATATGATTAAATTATTATTCCATTTTTTATTTACAGTGAAGCAAATAAATAAACAACTAATTGCTGTTGCACAATTTATCTTCTCTGTATTAGCAGGATTTGCATTTGGTTTCGTTGGAGTAGAATTAATAGTTGGTAATTTAGATTTTGGATTTAGACTGTTACTGGGTATAATATGTGCATTAGTAATTGCTTTGGCAGAAATCTACTTTCTGGCTATTAAGTTAAATGAAGACTGTTATGATGTATTTTCAACGCCTAAACCAACAAAATTACATCAAGAATAAAATGTAAATCATATAAGAATATTTTATATTATCTTATAAATGTGATTTTAAAAATTATAAATCAATATGTTTTTGTTATTAAAAAATTTGGTAAGGCACATAATATTTTTTATATTCTTAAACTAATTATAATAATACTAATGCATTATATTATATATATATACTTACAATAATACTAATGCATTATATTATATATATATATAATATAATGCATTAGTATTATTATAAGTACTATATACACATATAGGTAATAAAATTGCATACTGCTTTTTTCTTTTATTTTATTATAAAAATTATCAATTCTTTTAAATAAATACACGTGCGCATTATAAAAGACACTATTTTACTGTAAATACACACAAATTAAAAATGATAATTTTATTGAAAAATATATGAAATATAAAGATTTAAAAATGTATTTCTTTCAAAAGAAATATTTTTTCTCTAAAAGTAGTTGAATTAACAATATTCAAGTGAAACAATTAATTTTATATTCTTTGTTATTCTTAACTTTGACTAAATTTTTCATATTTTTGGTCACTCATTATTACAAATAATATGATCCATATTAATTAATAAGAATCATATAGACATAATTTGATGTCTTCAATAAAATATCTTAAAAATAAAATTGTAGACTAAATATCTTCTAAAATACTTATTAAGCATAACCTATGAATATAATAGAATTTTATTCTATTTGTTTATTTCTACCTCTTAGATTCCTCTTCGCTGTCACTTTTAACACTAGCCTCACTTTTATCACTGAAACTACATTTACCATTTTCTTGTGTTTCTGTTTCATGTTCACTACCAGATGAGTTTTCATTATCTTCCTTATTGTCGCTATTAGAACAAGAGTCAGTATCAGATTCGCTATCACTATCTGAATCTGAGCTACTTTCAGAAGAACTACTATTCGATGATTTAGATGCCATCATCTCCTTGAATTGCCTTACTGTAATTTTTCGTGGCATTATTTCCCGTAAAAATTCCAACGTATCATTTGTTTGTACAACTTCTGCTAAATGCTTGTAATCTAAATTATTCCCTTTATTATTTTGCATATGAGCTTCTTCTGTCAGATAGTGAATAAACAATTCCTAAAAATATAAAAACATTTTTAATTGACAAATAATATATATATATATATATAATTCTAATTTAAACATATATAAACATAATAATGAATAAAGATAATGAATAATATAAAATTATAATATTTTTAATAATCCCGCCGTAAAATACGCAAGTCGGCTTAACCACCGTACTCGAATGCATTTGCATCTTTCGAACTTCCGTATATTTATCATAAAAAACTTACTGTAGCTTTCGTAACTAAATATAATCCGTCTTGTCCAACTGTATCGACATAAGGTGAACTTTTCATTATGGTTTTTACTCTTGATATAGGTAAACGTAATTCCTTCATTTTTGATGGTATACCTTGCGCCGCCATTTTTAAAATTAATCTGACAAATCAATACAAACTGAACGACGCTAATAGAAATTGACTAGCGACGTACATATCGAACTTCGTTACCCGCCAATTTTAAATGAAATAAATGTTTCAATGATTTCATCGATATCGTTGAATTTAAAATTATTATTTTACGTAAACTTTGATATATAGTTACAATTTTTTTATTATTTATTATTAATTTAATAAGTCATTTTTGTTTGTCAATAAGATATTTAAAAAATATTTTTATTTAATTGTTTATTCCTTATTATCTAATCAAATACATTTGAACAGTGCAATATAGATTATATGTAAGATAACAATTTATTCGGAAATGAAATCTTGTATGAAAAAATTTCCATTCTATTATTTTTCAACATATATTTTCATTTAAATTCGCGTATCTTTTTCGCGTGTAAGGCATCATCAAAATATTCTATAAAACAGAAGCTAGTAACATTTCGAGAAATAGTTACGAAATCTTCCGCCATTGCTTTGTCTGTTTCTCTTATAATATTTGTATGCATAGGTACTTCGCTGTTTTCTCCATTTGATTTCTAGATCCGGTACAGACTGATTACACGTGGCAGATTGATCAGGAGTAACAATTCTTGCGTCAAATTTTTGAAATTCCTTGTGCCAACATATATCAAACGATTATTAAGGTAATTATATAGTATTTTATTATAAAAATATGTAATGTATATGGTCTTAATATCTGGATTAAAATTATATATATATATATATATGTGTGTGTGTGTATATATGCATACACATAGAGATGAATGAAAAGATCGATAACGCACATGGTTAACTTGAAATAATAACGATAAAGAATACATTTTTTTTTTTACATGTGCAGACAATTTTACTTATAATTATTTTATTTCTATTAATTTTATCGTGTGTGAACTACGAAATATATAACTGTGTGTATATGTGTGTGTATGTGTGTATATATATATATGTGTGTGTGTGTGTGTGTGTTTGTGGATTAGTTATATTTAAGCCTACAATAGCTGGTTCAATAAAAATTCACGAATTTAATCTGTTTTAAATTCAAAACTAGTAGAAAGATCAAATAAAAGGAATATACTATAAATCGTATTTTATGGATTTCTTTATAGAATAATCTTTTAAAGGTGTTTACGTATATATCGCATTTCCCTTATCTTATTAATCTGTAAGAGGTTAACGGTATAGTTGGCACATTTCGTTTCTATATTACAGGTATATTTCAAATGGCACAATGTCAACTTTTCTTGGGCTTATCGAGGAATTACCAGCTATCTCTGTGGATTCATTTAGCGGACAAAATCTTGACTCTTCTGTATTTTTTCTTAGTCATTGTCACATAGATCATATGAATGGTTTAAATAATTTATTCTTTGAATACTTAGAGAAATGTAATAAGTATCTTTATTGTAGTCCAATTAGTAAATTAATTCTACAAAATAAATTTAGCTTAAATGAAAATTGCAAAATAAAAGAGATTTATATAGACACTCCAGTCGTTATAGAATATAATGATAAACAGGATAATAATCACATTATTGTAGTAATAAGTATTTCAGCTGGGCATTGTCCAGGCTCTCTCATGTTTCTCTTTCAAAAGCAAGATAAATTAGTGCTTTATACTGGAGACTTTAGAATTAATCCAAATGATTATTCAAAATTAAGATCTTTGCATGTAAAACAAGGCTACAGATTACTTCCAAAGAAACTTGATAAAATTTATTTAGATACAACTTTTTTAAACCCTAACTTTTCTTATTTACCATCTCGGAAAGAAAGTATAATAAAAATACATCAAGCAATTAAGGAATGGCTCGATCAAGACCCAAGGAATGTTGTTATGCTGGAATGTTCTGCTCTTTATGGTTCAGAGTTTCTTTACATAGAATTATCAAAGTCTTTAAATATGAAAATTCATGTTAAAGATCTTGTGTACAATACTTACTGTTCTATTACTGAAATAGCTCCCCATATTACAAATGATTCTAACAGTACTCCTATACATGCATGTACTAAAAAATCAGATCGATCATTAAAGTGTCGTTATGATGTAAGCAAAGAAAATATATTAATTATTGTGCCATCGGTATTAAAATGGCAAGGAAAAGATATATCAAAGATAGCTGAGTGGGATGAACACAGAGAAAGAACGTATAATGTATGTTACTCCATGCATTCTTCATTTAATGAGCTTAAAGCATTTATACAATACTTTGAACCTATGGAAATATTTCCATGTGTTTGCCCTACGAATCAAGAGAAACAAATTTATGATATACTAAATGAAATAATGACTAAATCTACTAATCAAACATTGAAAACGAATAAATCACGATATCAACTAAAGTTATCTTGTTACAAGACAACAAATGTCAATACTTCTGAAAATATTTACTTTAGCGATGATGATAGTTGTTAGTGAGTATTATTGTTATATAAATCAAAGGAAATTATTTTTATATCATGTGCTTATGACATAAACTATTTTAAAATATGTATATGTATATATAATTATAGAACTATTTGACATTTTTGTATTTTTATTTAATAAACGTAACAGATTTTATATTATTATCAATTATCTAAGCATATTTTTTTCATTCATTTTATCTGTTTTCTTTCTTGTGTTTTAATTATGCATACATCAAGAATTTTTTTGCAATATATTTTTCAAAAACAACTTTTATAACTTTAAATATTAATATCTTATCAATAATGATATAATTATATAAATTCTATCAATACAAATTTTGTTACAGAAATTATTATACTTTAGCTTCAAATATAACTGCAGTAAATATGGCAACAGCAACAGCAACAGCTCTTACACTTGTGAAGGTATGGTTTGACAAGCCATCCTATGATAAAGCAGAGCGGCTATATTTTGAACGAAGGACTAAGGTAAGAAATCATTGTTTCCATCTGGTTTGTTGATTTATTTGAAATTAAAAAAAAAAAAAAAAGACCAATAAATTTTTGAATTAGATAAACTATTGCAGTATATAGTAAATATCTCATATACAAATTCCCCTAAATTCATAATTTCAATTAATATCTTATCTTCAGTGCGTATCATGAGAAAATGTATAAATATAAAACTATTAGACATACATTTATTATCATTGCTCCCAGCATCCACAGCTAATCTGCACAAATTTTTCCTTCACTTACAATTTTATATTCATGGGTTTGGAGTATGCTATTTAATTAACCACTAACATCCTTAACACATATTTGAGGGAATATCTGGTGATGGGTAATAACAAGATATTTTTAATGCTTATCCGTGTGTTCTCCTGAATTTTTATGATGTTGGGAAAATTTGTTAATTGCAAACTAACTTTATGTATTGTATTTTAAGCTATGATGCAGGTCAGCATAGGTATTTTCACGATAAAATATTTCCTCAAAGAATACAACACTGAGAAAACTGAACAGTGGTATTCTAACTATACTCGAAAATCTCTTACATATTATATTATGAAAACATTCCATATTATATGTAGATTCATATTACACAATTTACATACACATAGATACAATTAATAAATGCGTGCATATTGTGCTATAAAAGTTCACTCTTACATATCTTTTTATAAATTACATAATATTAATATGTAGTCAATTTTTTTACGCTTTTTGTGCTCTTAGCAAGACTTTATCTTGTATTTGCACAAAGAGAAACATGTTTTAAGATGATGTCCAACAAGATTATAAGAAGATATGCTCTTAACACTCATAACTCTGTAATTAACAAGCATAAAGACGTAATAAATATTGCTTCAACGAAATCAAAATCTGGAAAATCTAAAAAATGTAAAGACAATAAATCATTACTCCCAGATAATAATGTATCTACTGATATTTTAAAACAGAATAAGTACCAAGTAAAAAATTTTAAAAATCTTAAAAAAGAAGATGGATGTAATATATTAAAAATGGACAATTTGGATATCATAGAAAAATGTGATGAGATTTGTATGAAAAATGAAGATATTAAAGTTAGTAATGATACGGTTACAAAGTGTCTCTCAAAAGTTAAAGTTAAAGAAAAAAAAAACAAGGCTGATACAAAACATAGAAATAGAGGAAAGGGAAAAAACAATATTAAGGAGCAAAAAGAAAAATTGCCTAATCAGGTATTAATTTTGATGTATTAGAAAATTAGTGTTATATGTATAAATGGCATGTATAAATGGCACATTTTTTATTTGACTTCAGCACAATCACAATTTTAGTTTACTGAACACATTTTTTTTATTATGCTTATTAAAATTTTTTATTTAAGTAAATCTCCATTTTCATATATACTAAGTAAGTTATTTAAAATAAACATAGAAGTGTATAAAGAAATGTATAATAAAAATATACATTTCTAATTTTATGAGAAAAAGAATCGACAATCCTTATCTCAGGAGTTAATTTTGGATGACTTATCTGATATATCTTATATATATAACAATATATATATATGTTGTTAGATTATAATTTATTTATTAATAATTTTCATTCCAATTAATATTACTATATTTGTTTTAATAAAGCATGCTTGCATTAACAAATTTACCTATATTTTCTTGCAAAAAAATATTTATGACTAATGAGATTTAAGTATTAAAATTAATAATAATTGATATGACCAAATTAATGACAATTTGATTTATTTAGTATTTAAGATTTTTTTGGTGATGGTTATCTATGGGACTTAACATAATAAAACTGTTTTTAGTGCTTGCTTCGTTGTGTACAAATTATACGTAATTCGTGCATATGTGTAAACATAATGCTTAATGTCTATCTCCACTTGATCAACAACCAATTATTTTGACTCCTAATATTTTAACTCTAAAATATATTAGTGGAGATATGACATAGATTGGATTGACTTAATCAATCTGCTGTAATTTAACCTTTAATATCGATGGATATAGAGAAACCAACAGTCCACTTGTCCAATCCTACCTGCTGGTGGAAGTTTAGCCAATGAAGTTGCCAAGGCACGTCAACATATTAAACAATCCTTACAATGTGTGAGTACAGTACTCATTTATCATAGTAACAAATTTTTATGTTTATCAAAATAATCCATCTTCATGTCTGCTTATAATTGTAACATGTATTATTAGTCAAGTGCATATAATATAATTATTATTTAATACCTAGCTAGCTTAAGCAGATGTCACATACACACATAGAAATACTTTTGTCTCATTAAAAATGTTTCTTATATTAATGTCTTACTAGTAACATTTTTTTTTCTCATGATTCAGATTTAGTAAATTAATATTAAAAACTTGAAATAAATTTTATAATGTGTAATTTAAATTTAAATAAATTTAATACAAGGAAATATATTTAATATTTTCTCAATACATTTATAGATGGATGATATTGCTGCACTTACTGCAGTATCTCATTCCAATCAAGATGTTGGATCACGCATAGCTGCTCTTGAGAAAGATAACCAGGATTTACGAAATGGTGAGAATAAAAGAAATTTTTACATTAGAAATTCTACAGATTAATTAATTAACTTAATATATTTGATAAATATTATATCATAAAAAGATAGATGATAAGTTAGATTTTATAAATTTATATATTATTAACCTATATATAAATCTTATTTATATATTAATAAATTGTATCTAATTCTAATATAATAGATAACAATATTAAACAATAATTCATATTATTTTAACGAACTTTATATATAGTTGTTCAAGAATTGAGATATATTATTGAAAAGTTGGAAAAACGTGTAGAAGTACTTGAAGGAGAACAGATACTTTCATGTCCAGTTTTAGCAGTTTGTCCTGCTAAACCCGATAAGTTAGAAAATGCATTAAATAAAGAAGACGATGATGAAGATATCGATCTATTTGGTTCAGATTCAGAGGCAAGTGAGAAGATGGAAAAAAAATTTCTAAGTTTGTTACATATAATAATTATACATACATATGATTGATATAATTTACTAATAGAAATATCAACATTTTACTCAACATATATTCTGTAAGCCACAAAGACATGGAATGCTTCTTTAATTTTCATTTTTAGAATTTTTAAAAACAAAAACAAAAAATATCGCGTATTTTTATTAATCAGTATACACCAGATATTCCCAAGACACTAATATCAACCATATAAAGTCAACCATTTCTTACCATTCTTGACACAAATTTCAATACAAATTGTAGTAACTAATTAACGGAATTATCTCGTGAGATAAATTATAATCACCAATCCTATCAATTTCTAACTTATTAGGGTGAAGATGCAGAAGCTGCTAAAATTAGAGAAGAACGTCTTGCTGCATATGCTGCAAAGAAAGCTAAAAGTGAGTTAGTTCATATATTCTTTTTTTTTTTTTTTTTTTTTTTTTTTTTTTTACAATGATCTAATGTATTTCTTATAAATAGAGCCCGCATTGATTGCTAAATCTAACATAATACTTGATGTTAAACCGTGGGATGATGAAACTGATATGAAAATTATGGAGACTGAAGTACGTAAAATTGAAACTGATGGATTATTATGGGGTGCAGGTAAGTCCAATGAGCTATTCAATTACAATTTTATGCTTTCAGCATTTATATATATATATATATAACAATTAATATGTTATCATAAATTAATAAAACATCTATGATTTTATTATTTCAGCCAAGCTTGTACCACTTGCTTTTGGTATTCATAAACTTCAAATTTCTTGTGTTGTGGAGGACGATAAAGTGTCTGTCGATTGGTTAACTGAACAAATACAGGAAATCGAAGATTATGTTCAAAGTGTTGACATTGCCGCTTTCAATAAAATATAATTACTTCATTTCGGGCAAATATTATGGCAGGTATAGTTACATAGAAACACGGATTTGCTGTGCCATCTTTTCATTCCATTAGAAGTTCTAATATGCACGTGTATGCTTATTTTACGCTATACGTGAAAATACTTAAAAAAGAAAAAAAGAAAAAAAAAAGAAAAAAATTACTATAGAAATGCCCATAGAAGAAACATTTAAATTATCAAACTTTTCTATTAGTCTTTTGTTTCATACTCATAACTTGTGAAAAAAAAAATTAAACACAAGTAAATGATCTCTTAAAAGTTTGAAATTAAAAAATTATATAGAATCATTCGAAATACGAGCTTTTAATTTAAAACATTGACATTTTGATATAAAATGTTGTTCGAAATAAATTATAAATAAAATTTAAACTGTGTAACATATATACTAAAATCTATCATACTTGAAGCACATATATAATGGATTGATATTAATAAATTTTTAAATGCTGATTTTATATATTTCGTAATAAATTTTATTGATATAAAAATTTTTGACATATATTTCTTCATATATAATAACTTCGATTAGTAATTAATTACGTATAGAAAATAAAATAAATTTCTAATGATTATATAAATTAATGATAATATATGTTATTATAATTTATTTTACAGTAATAATTTATTTTTGAATTTCACTA